TAATACATGAAACGACATCTCTTTGATGCATTTTGTCGAACAGATGGCTTGCTTTGTCGATGTTTCCACTTTTTGAGTAAATATCAGTCAAAGCATTGCATACACTTATCTTCTCCACGAAATGATTTTTCTCTGCATAGAAATGGATCCATTTTCCTAGGGATTTGTTGACAAAACAAATCCCAAATCACTGCCTATAATAGTGAAGAAAAGGTGGTGACAAAAAATTATTGAATTTTCTTAAAAATCAATATCACAAACCAAGTAAGCTTGTAATCTAGATGGAGACAAAATGTTTTAAATTATATAATCTCCTTAACTCAGGTGGAATGGTTCCTAAAATATAGTTTGCTTCAAAGTCCCTGAATAAGAAATTGAATTGCATGATTATATAAATCCAAAAAAACAAAAGTTAAAGGGTAAAAAAGGAATCTCATATACAACCTTGTGACCGGAGATATAGTTTCCAAGAATCAAGCTGCAAAATGAAAGGATAGACAAAGATTGTTCAGCTTCTACTTCTGATAAACAAAAGATTATATATGAAAGTACAAGGTATGAAAGTAAAACGTGAAGGTGTTTAATGACTTCAAACTCACGATTTGTGGGTTACTGATCAGTGTAACGCATCTTAGAATTGATTATTAAGAAGTGAATGAGATAATTAACTGATTAAAGAAACAAAGTGGAAGTTAATTCAATATTTATTTCCATAATTTTTTTTTTCAAATCAGAATTATATAAGAGTTTATTAACAAACCTCAAAATAAACAGATTAAAGGAATGAATACCAAGTGGTTGAACCATTCCCTCTTAGTTGTTCATTCCAATCCTGGCCGGATTACACCTTGATGAAAACATAATGAAGTAGCAAAAAATCGAAAATACACAAAGAGACAATACGTCAAACACCTTACGTGCAAGAAACCAAACAAATTGGAGGAAAACTATGAAATTACCTTGGGAAAAAAAATCCGGTTCTTAGACAAGTTGTCCTGATTGTATCGATCATATTCCTTGCACAAAAAGTGAGAACAAAACATAAAAAAGTAAAAGCTTTACCATAAAAGAGTTGCATGTTTTTGATTTGTAGTTGTTGAGGTAACCTATTTTTCCCTACAGATTGAAGACCGGAGACAACATCTGTTCAGTTAGATGTAGATGACGAAGCATCAGTCGATGCAAAACCGAGGAAGCACTAATCGATTGGAACAAAGATGTTTGACACTGACCTAATAACCTCCGTTAAACACATGCTAGACGGGACTGGTGGCAACAACAATGTTGATTTTCCTTTCGAATCCTTCTAATATCTGCACAACCAACAAAATCGTAACTCAATACTATAATGAAGTCAACGACGGCGGTTCCGGTAGAGACCCCTGCTCGTCGATCACCACCAAGACCAACGCCCTTAGAAAGCAAACTGGGGTGCTGGTGACGGAGAGGGAGATGGTCGCTTCTTTTGAAACTGGAAGGATCGATTCGAGCGGCGGTGTGGAGAAAGCTAAAATAAGCGGTGGGAAATAGAAACAAAATGAAATTGGCTAATGACACTGATCTTAATCCGATCGGATTACACGGGTGGTGAAGTATGGGTTCTTTGTAAAAAAGAGGTAGTTTTCAAAAAGGTTGGTAGAAATAGAGCTGTTTTAAATGTCTTTGTAAAAATAGGGTTCCTGACAGGGTTCCTGACCCACTGAATAAATCCATAAATGTATATTGAAATGAAAGATCCCTCACAACTTACAACAACAGTCCTTTCTTTTTTATTATATATTCAAATTTTATTCTTTTATATATTTTTTTTCTACATTTACCTAATTTTTGTAGCTTAAATATATTATTAAGTTTTATATATAGCATTTAATTGTTCTTTTTACACAAACGATCTCATTTATATTCCAAAATTTTAAAATATTATATAGTATTTCAATTATACAAATACAATTAACGTATAAATATTGTTAGAATCATATAAATTAAAAAATAAATAGTAACATTTATATATGATTTGTCCAATCAAATACTTAATCTGTAAAAGCAAACACTCTATCCAAAACAAAAGCAAACACTCTATCCAAAATAAAATGTCACTATTTATTGAAATATCATAAAAGCTAAAGCTGCATGAACTGACATGTCTAAAAATTTTAATTGATTTTATTTTACTTTTTGATGCTATAAATTTGATCTTACGAGCCAAGGTTCTTCATCATTCTTACAAAATTGTTTCCACACAATTATACATTCTTGATCTTTCATGCTTCCATAATATTTACATGATTAGTTCTTTCATATATTTAACATAAGGTATATATAATTTCTAAATATTTTTGCATATTTTTTTTGTCAAAACGCTATATATATGATACTAATTTGCATTTGTTATCATATGATTTGTCTTGCAGTTATATTCATGGCTCTAAATCGTCCATTTATGATTACTCTCTATTGGGGTGGCAATGTCAAATATGAGAATTGAATCATCAAGGGCGACAAATCAATTGTGTCTGCTTCAGACATTATTAGGCAAAAAATACGGTACGAACAATTTCAATATTTGGTTTATGCACTTGTTGGAGTAGAAAAATCCTCATATAAGTTGAATATGTCATTATGTTCCCAATATTCTAGGAGATCTAATATTGCACCACTTATAAATGATTCAACCTTAGACATGTTGTATTATTTAGCTGAGACTGATGAGAATTATTGGGGTCAAGTTTGTGTTGATATTGAGAAAATAGTGATACCTACAAATATTAGTTTGGTAGATCTCCTTCGTAATTTTGAAATACCATTTCTTTTGCCGAGTGATGATAGATTTGAGCCAAATAAGGAGTTTGGATTTGATGATCCCAACTCAAAATGCAGTAGTGAGTCACTAAGCCATATTGAGGAAGAATCTGATGATGTGAGTGACAATCTCGTTGTAGACTTTATGAATGATATTGGAAATATAGGAGATGATGTCGTAGAAAATTTAGAGGACAACGTTCATATAGATGTTTGGAAGGAAACAAAAAACAAAATTAGGTTAGGAATGCAATTTGAAAGTAAGCAGCAGGTGAAAAATGCAGTAATACTTTGGTCTATCAGTCAAAATAGAGAGTTTAAGGTGTATGAAAGTAAACATAACAATGCTGTCTTTTATATGATGAAAATCACCGATAGGGTTTCTTAACTACTAATATCTCGAAGAGCATGAACAATGCATTACGAGGAGCGAGACAATTGCCAATTAGGGTGTGTATTGACCTTACATTCAATAGAACAATGCAACTTTTCAGAAAGCATAGTGGTATTGCAATGAACTGCATTACACCTCTACCAAAATGTATGTGGCGTCTCTTTCTTAAACGTGACACTCGTGCACAAAGTCATGTTTTATATGAGTTTCACTAAAATGAACGTGTTTACAGAATTGTCACAAAGTCACAGATAAATGGAACCGGAGGAAATACACAAACTGTTAATTATTTTCAACATATGTGTACTTGTGGTAAGTGGCAAATGGAGAGATTTCCATGTTCACATGCACTTGCAGTTTGTCGGAATAGAGGGGACAACCTTCTTTCCATTGTGAACAATGTGTACACTACTATGACATGCAGACAACAATATAATTTTCGGTTTGTACCACTTCCTTATGCTGATTACTGGTTGGATTCAAACTGGACGGTTGAAGCAGATTACTCACTTTTTGTTCATCGAGGATGAAGGCATGCAAATCGAATTCATAATGAGATGGACATTCGTCATCCTAATGAACCTCGTAGATGTACACTATGCCACCAGTCAGGTCATAATAGAAGAAATTGTTTAAATTCTCAACCAAGATTCCATTAGTAGTAAACTATGTTTTTGTTTTATTGTGTTGTAATTTCATGTTTCATTGATCTTGTATTTCCTGTGTGATTTTTTATTATGATTTTTGAATTTTAGTAATTTAATCTTAGTATGTGTTTTCCTATTTCTTATTGTTATAATATTAAATGTTGGTATTAATGGAAATGTATAAATGAAATATATTTGGTATTAAAAACTAATGAACGTTAGTTATAAATTATATAATATATTTACATTAAATATTATTAAATTAAGTAAATGTACAAAATACAAATAAAAAATATAATAAGATGTAGTGGTAACATATTTTATAAAATAAGGTTAATGTTGAATATTTTTATGAACTATTTTGTATATTCAATATTTACGTAAATATAATAAGATGTAGTAAAAATGTAGAAAAAAATATATAAAAGGATAAAGTTTTAACATATTATAAAAAACCTTGGACTATTGTTGTAAGTTGTGAGGGATCCATTATTTCAATATATATTTACGAATTGATTTAGTGAGCCAACAGCCCTATTTCTACAAAGGCATTCAAAACAGCCCAATTTCTATCTACCTTTTTAAAAAACTGCCCCATTTTTACAAAGCCCCATTTCTACCGACCTTTTTAAAAACTGCTCCATTTTTACAAATAACTCAGTGAAGTAGTGAAGTACAGATAGAACTTCCGTGTGCATCTTCAGTTTTAAAAATGACCTAAAGGATCCCTGAAAAAGAAGCAAATAAACATATCAGAAGGAAATAAACAAACGATCTACAGGGGACAACTAAAGTGACCAAAAGAGACAAATTTGCTCCAAATATACTGTTACAATTCTTCAGAACTTTAATATATATATATATATATATATATATATATATATATATATATATATATATATATATATATATATATATATATATAATATGATATTCCGAAGTAAGCAATTATTTTTCAAAAAGTAAAAATAATGGTTATTTTTTCAAATGTTTTGTTTATAATGCTTAGTTTAATGAATTTAATGAATTTTCCTTTTTTTCAAACACTATCGAATGCATACACGAAATATCATGGAGGGGCAAAAGTGTCACGAAGTGAATAAACAAGGTAGATGATTGAAATATCAACATCATCAATACTTTTACTATACATTCAAGTCCTCCAATAAAGGGTGGGTTTTAGTTTTACCAGAAATGAGCATTTCTGAACTTCTTCCCGCCACTAAAAACCCTAGAAAATGGAGGTTCACATGGGAATCCAATTCTCACGTCCCCATTATCCGGTTATACATCTTTCACCCCAACACCAAACCCTCCTCTCAATGCACCGATTTGAAGGTGACTATTTTATCGGATAAATCTCTACTCGAAGTTACTTGGCTCGACAAAAATCAAGTAGGGTCACCGGCGACGGCAGCGTCACTTTGGGTTCCGATTCCTAGGGTCTTGATTGATGCTGATTCCCCGATTAATTTACGAGCACTGGATGATCACATTGAAGTTAAATTTGTTCTGATTCTTCCCGTCGACCACCCGATTATATCGAATTTTGATTTTGAAGATGGTGATGAGAATGCATTGGAAGATGATGAACTTCAACCTCTTCAATTGGATTCTGGTAATCAAAATATATTCTTTTTATTTTTGATTTTCACTATTCATCGGCATCTTAGCTCTTAGAATTTATCACCAGCAGTAAAGTTATCTTGCATCAAACAAAGAACCGGTATATGGAACTCTGTAATGGTGTCATGGTGTGCAAAGCTACTTAGAACATTGCATCTTATTCCTCTTCTTCATATCATTTACCCTTCACACTATCTTCTTTTCCAATGTGCACTTCGTGTTTCTCTTGTATTTCATTCTTATCCATTTGAACTTTATGAATTCAGATCTTAAGAAGCTGGCTTCCTGTGGAGAGGTGCAGTTTTATTGCAGATGTTGCTCTACCAAGTTAACTAGAGCTGTTCGGTAGGATTCTCTCCCCATTAACACCATACCTTCTACATTCATTCTTTGAGTCTTTCTACAACTCTTTCTAATAGTTAACCTAACAGTGAATCCGAATCATATACACAGATTTTTCAAGGAAATGCCATCTGTCAATTGGCGTGAGGCAGCTGATAACTGGTTTGGGACTTGTTGCTGTTCTTTTGGGGGTGTAAGTGAGAAACTTGTAGCAAAATATGCCAACTCATACACATGTTCATCAGGAATGTGCCTAGTGGATGCTACATCTATTGTCATCTCCAAAGATGACTTAATAGGACATAAATTTCCTGACAAAATTAAACTCCAAGAACACAAATCTCTTCATTCTTTGAATAACAGCTTTAAAAAGCTGAATGTTGATCATAGTAGTCAAAACGAAAAACTCCATGATCATGAATGTGTCCATGTTCATAAACATGAAGAGGAAACACTTGATACAAATGAATTACTAGCAAACAAAACCAGTCTCCTCAATGGTCTTCTTGGAAATAGCTTCATGGTCACATCTCCATATCTTTCAAAAGACATAAAATGGAGTGAAATCTCATGTCCTAATTGCTCATCTCTTCTTGGAGCATTCCCACATGATAATCTTGATGGTTTCCCATTGAATGATAGTGTTCACTTGTTCAAATGTTTCATATCTACTTCACTACCAATTGGAGGTTCAAATGACCTTTTTAGGTAAATTTTATATCTTTATGTTATTACTTTTTATTAGGTTTAGATCATGATTTTTATGTGGTTTGATGAATCTTTGTAGGAAATACAGTTTAGAGAGGATGTTCAGTAGCCAGTTGTTGGAAAGTGCAAAAGATGAACTCTCATTCAGAACAGTGGTTAGAAATCTGCAAACAAGATCTCCAATGTTGCAAATTGTTCTGATAAACCCTAATTCATGGTGCTCATTTGGGGATTGTATGGATGAAATTGTATCAATTCCCAAGATCAATATCTACCCTATGATTAAAGTGCTATTTTCAGACTGCAGTAACACCACTGAATCTCAGCTAAGGTTTGTAATTATCATCTTAATTTTTTCTTTCTTTCTTCTTCACCTTTAAAAAAGGTTTCTTTCAGTTTTTTTTTTTTCTTTAGTGAAATGCACTTTTTGTCCCTATAGTTTTCAAATAGACAAAATGACAGAAATGATCCCTGTGTCAGAATTTTTTTACTGAAATGGTCTCTGTATAACAAAATTACAAAATTGATCCCCTTTTAAGATAGAGTTACAGAAATGGTCCCTCTGTAGGAAATAGATGAAATTACAGAAATGAAAAATGGTCTTTCTGTAGGAAATAGATGAAATTACAGAAATGGTCCCTGTGTTAGAGAAAGTTACAAAAATGGTCCTTGTGTAACAAAGTTAAAGAAAAACAGTCCATGTGTAGCAAAAGTTACAGAAATGGTCCCTGTACGTTGGACAAAATTAAAGAAATGGTCCTTGTTAACAAAATTACAGATCAGAAATGGTCCCTGTGTGAGAAAAAATTACAGAAATGTCCTTGTGTAACAAAATTACAAAAACAATTCCCATCTAAGATAAAGTTACAGAAATGGTCCCTCTGTATGAAACACCTCTGTATGAAACAGATGAAATTACAGAAATGTTTGTGAGTGCGTTCAAAGGTGTTTACATGTTATACTTTTTTACTTTCTTTACTTATTACAATTACTTTCTCAATAATGAAAAACAATTTTGAATCTTTATACAGGAAACTAGATGAATGGGTTAAAAAGAATCAAGTTGAAGATGTTTATATGTTGATGACAAAAGCATTAGCAGAATCATTGGAAATAGGAAACCGAATGCTTCCACATTCTCATGCATCTCTTCAGGGGTTGTCTTTATCTTTCTTACATAGGTAATCAACATTTTAAAACTTCACTAAAAAATTATAGTAAATTTAGTGATTAATATTGTTGTGAAGTTTGTAGTCCTAGTCTTCTAGATGATTTAGGGTTTGGAAATTAGCATTTACATGGTGTGGTTTTGTGATATTGGGTTATAAATCTACAAAAAATATTATCTTAAAATAGCACTTTTGCTTCTTTGATGAGTTTTGAGATACAAATTCTTGAAGAAATGAGATTCCCTTTGGGATCATGTACTTAGATTCTTAAATTAGAGAATATATTCAAACTATATGAGATTTAAGGTTGTGGGACATAGACTCTCTTGTGTGTGCAAAAGACGTGAATGCCCTTCTCATGCTCATAACTACAAAAAAAATTGTTGATATTTGTACTTTTGAAATCGAAAGTGGTTTTAATTCTCTTGATTTTGGAATATTTATTGTTGAAGGATGAGTTGATTTTGCATCATATTTGTAAGGTCGTGTTCCATAAAAAGTAAAACCACAAGAAAATTGTGTTTGATGCCTTTTTTTTTTTTTTTTTTTTCCATTGATATGATCACAAGAATATAAAATATAAAGCAATTACATAGGGTCAGTTAAAAACTTAAAATTGTTGTTAATAGTCGTGTGCTATTTTTATTAAAGGTTATTCTTCCAACATATAAGTTGGCCCACATTGTCTTGAGAAGCATCATATAAGATGTTAATAACATAAAAGCCCAATACTTACAAAGAGTCACAAATCCACATTGAAATTGAAAGTGACACGAATTCTTGACCACTTATGCAAGTATACCATTCACCATATAAACCAATCATTAGATAAGTCAATACCAATTTATGGAGGCGTGTGAAGCCGATAATTTACAAGTCTTGATTTTATTCATTTTGTAATAAAAGTTGAGTTGAAATTCCTACTAAATCTTCTTTGTTTAGAATATATTCTCTAATTTTCAGCGTCATAAATTCGTGTTGAGACCTACATGAGAATCTTAAATGATGCCAATTCAAAAAGGAAAAAGAACAAAATTTATTGGATTATATTGGTGCCATGGAGGCTATAAATACGACCTTGAAAAACCATACTAAATATAGCAATTTATAATCGGGAGTGTGTGAATGCATGGAGGAAGCACAACAAGTGAGGTCTTGCATGAAGAAAAGTGTGTTGTTTGGTAGCCAAGGATGACTTGCCTGCATTCTACTTTTCAAAGGGTTTTTTGGTCTTTTCAAAGACCATTTGTTTCGTTGGTTGTCAGGCAGTCTCTTTGGCTAACCTCACAATCTCTTTTCTCTCATGTCAAACCTTTTCTTGTTTGACATATTATTTCTACATTTTGATAACAAACAATTCAATCTATATTATCCTCTCTTACACACAATAAAGGTAAGAGTTTTAGTTTTATTCCTTTGTTGGATTGAAACCTTGTGTTTGTCAAATTTAAAAATATAACAAAAAAGTTATATGTACATATGCACTATTTTGCATAATTGCTTGATAACTTGTTATGTTGCTTTAGATTATATTCATCATGAGAATTTGATGTCATCACAAATAACAATTTGGGTTGATAGCAATCAAACCAAACAAACCACATGATGAATGGTGTATAAAAAGCATAGTAGCAAAAAGATGAAATAATTCTTGACTACATATATAATATATAGATGTGTAGTCTTTTGAGTACGGAAAAAGAGGTTAACAAGCTTCTCTCATAGTCAAAACCATAAAAATATCATTTTAATGATAATGGGAAGTTGTTTTGTGTTGTGATGATATTGGTGGGGGAGGGGGAAGCAAATGGTGGTCGTGTGGTAGTAGTGTTCTTGAGTTGTGGGGTATGGTCTGCATTTGGACCTTGTTGCTGCTATCGAGGCTTAGTAACGGTCTCATAGCTATAAAGTAGTTTACCTTGGACAATTCGAGAAACAGATGCCAGAAAGGCAGAAGGAAGAGTAGAGGAACCATTCACTAGAGGGACTTCTTATATTATTTTAAGAATCACATAACACGATTCAATCACATGCATGAAATGCAGCCTAAGAGAATACTAGAAGAAGAAGAAAATGGATAATGACTTATGAGAGTAACAAACTCATTTTCATGTTAAAAAAAATACCATTATGACTGGCTTTAGCCAGTTTCCGACAACTTTGACATCTCTGATGAATCTCTTAATCTCCTTGTCATCTTCTCGGGCAACATGAGTTTTCCAATGAAATCGTGACACATCATAAACAAAATCTCCAACGACTCTCCCTTCATATCTCAATTTTTCCATATTTTTGAAGAATTGATTCTTGAACATGAGTTCTCGTTTCTAAAGGACTCAAGAACATATCTCGTTTCTAATGAACCCACCAGAAAAAACACTTGAACAAATCTTAAGAGTATATACGATGAAATCAATAACGGATCTCAAGAACATATCATGTTTATACCATGGATGAACCTTCAAAGATGTTCTTGAAATGGTTTGAACCTAAAAACGTGTTCCAAAAACATGTTATTGAACTCGATTTTCAGATCTTGGTTTCTTATGATCTTGTGCTCTTGAGTTCCGGAAATCATTTGAACCTTTTCTAGATTTCACTTGAAGGTCTTATTTGATGTGCCAATAACTTGCTGGAAAACTCATATTAGCCGGAAGCTTGCAAAAGATTATTGAGAGTCACTAGAGATGTTAAAATCGTCGAAAACCGATTAAAGCCAGTCATAATGATATTTTTTGATCACTAAAAACAAGTTTCATAGTAAATGGTGTACAAAAAAAAATGAATAAATGTGGACAAAAGTAAAAATTGGTTACCCTCTTAAAAAATAAACATTTACATTGCTAAAGATATAAACGAACAACTAAATAAACCATAACCCAAAAAATAAGTGTTTTCATGATCATTATTAACATTTATGACTAGTTTTCTTCATTTGTATTTTCTCAAAAAAAAAAAAAAAAATCTTGTTTTCGATTTGTTTTTGTTTTTATTTTCTTTTCCTATTTTTTTTCTTTCATTTTCTGCATTTACCGCTAATTATGCACTTTTGACAAGTACAAAATTAAACTAAAATAAAAACAAAGGAATAATTTTATCATGTAAATTCTTGTATTAGGTGAGGAAAATATTTGGGAAATTTGGTACATTATCTGTAATTGTCGTATTATGTAAACACAGTTTTTATGTTGATCTACCAAATTCGGAATGTAAAAAAACGAAAGGTCATGCAAACATGGCACATGAATACATGGAGTATTAAATAAAAATATCCGAAATTTCTACAAAAGTGGCATAGGAATACCCACTTAGGCAGTTATATAAGCCAAACTGATCGGAGCAGGACTAGTCCTGAAAATTTAAATATATTTTTAAAGACCTAGGACGAACAATAAAAAAATGAACCTTATCTTAATGATAATTTTTTCTTTGTAAACAAAAATATATAATGAAAAAAATTAGGCCTGTACATCTGTTCACATGGGATTTAAGAGTGGCACACATATGCGGTTTACCATTTAAAGAGAATCCCAAGGGCCAAGGGTCACTTGAGTAAAGCTCTATTTGGCAAACTACAAAAAAAATGTCACTTGAGTAAGGCTCTATTTGGCAACTACAAAAAAATTGATAGCAAGTCTTTGATTTCATTCAATTTTTTTAAAGGTGGACTGAAATTTCTAATAAATATCATGTGAGAAGAATATATGTTCTCTCATTTCATGTTTGTTTTGGCATCACAAGCTTGGACACATTTCTATGGTTTATGTGATGCTTAAATATATCGGATTCTTGTGGTGCCATATACAAAAGTCATACTAAATTGCTATCTTATTTGATGAAATCCTTATATATGTTTGAAAGGGACTTTGCTAACCGTGAAGCTACAAGTTTGACAAAATCTTGTGTGGATTTTGTGCTCTTTTAGCTTTTTAAAACTTTTTTTTTCACAAGTCAAAGCCTTAATTAAAGATACGTACGGACATGAGAACCTTAAATGATTCCATTTCATCAAGAATGATAATAAAAATTATTGGATGTTTTTTGTGCTATGGTGGTTATAAATACAACCTTGGAAAACCTTACTAAATATAGACAATTATAAGTTGTCAATCGGGAATTGAGTGTGTGAATCCATGGTGGAAGGACAAGAAAGGTCTTGCATGAAGAAAAGAGCGTCATTTGGTAGCCAATGATGACTTGCCACTTCTACTTTTCAAAGGGATTTTTGGTCTTTTCAAAGACCCTTGTTGGTCAAGTATGAGCCGTCTCTTTGGCTACCTCACAATCTCTTTTTTCTCATGTCAAACCTTTTCTTGTTTGACAAATTATTTCTATATTTTGATAACAAACCAATTCAATTTATATTATTCTCTCTTACACCTAGCAAAGGTGAAAGTTTTAGTGTGTTTGTTTGTTTGAATTGAAACCTTATATTGGTCAAATTTAAAAATATAACAAAAAAAAGGTTATACACTTATATGTACAAATGTATTATTTTGCATAATTGCTTCAAAACTTGTTATATTTGTCTGATTATATTCATCTTGAGAATTTATTGTCATCACAAGTAACAATTTAATTGGTTTGATAGCAATCAACCAAACAAACCACATGATGAATGATGTAATAAAAAGCTTAGTATATGGATACGGGTAGCCCTTTGAGTATAGAAAAATAGCTTACAAGTTCCTTTTATATGCAAAATCATGAATATCATTTTAATGTGGTTGTGCTATAGACATCGGGAAATGGGAGGTTGTTTTGCATTGTGATGGCACCCATGGGGGAGGTGGAAACATATGGTGGTGATGGTGTTGTTGAGTTGTTGGAGTATGGTTTGCCTTAGAGATGAAAATTTACCCCGACCTCTTAGGAAACCCGGTTGACCCGCTTCAAGGCTGAGCTCTGAGGTAGTTTACCTTAGGGAATTCAAGAAGCAGATTCCAGAGGTGGGGCTCTGGAAGATAGAAAGGAAGAGTAGAAGAACTGTTCAATAGATAATTATTTTATATTGTTTTAAGAAGCACATAGACTCTATTAAATGATGATTGTATGCATGAAATGCAACCTAAGAAATACCCCAAGCTTAAATATATTGTTCTCAAGAAAAGAACTAGAAAAA